ATTGACGATGTCCTATGGTTGTAATAAAGATCATGACCCTTGCATCAGAAAAGACCCCCATTTGGGCGTAAGTTCATCATGAATTAGGCTGCAAGTCATAATCACTGCTGTCAAAGAATGGCGGAAGAGATCCCTTAGTGCAATTACTGCTACAAACCAATGAGAAAGATGAGCATCGTGGCTTCAAAGAATATATGACATTCGCTTCTCAACAGGGCATGTGGGAAATTTTAAATCTCCCCTTTTCATTCTTTACCCCATTAATCATTCATTTTTCTATTCACGAACAATTTATTGAATATCTACTATTCAGCACATGACATGCACATACTACTGTGTGTCAAGGCACAGCAGTAAGAACACAAGAACAGTAACCATACCTAACACTCATAGAGCACTTGCATCCTGTGCACCAGGCACTGTTCCCAGGGTACACATTAGCTCTTTAATCCTTGCACCAATCGCCTGAGGTAAGCACAAGTACATGCCCACTTTGCAGATGAGCAACTGAAATACAGAGAAATTCATTCCCTCGGTCATACAGTCAGTGAGTGTCAGAGCCAGGTTTGAAACCCACATCTTTTCACTCCAGTGTCCAGATCTTGACCTTTATGCAATATGAAGAAAAACAGACGCGGCTTTATGGAAATTTCCATGTACTGGAGAAGACAGACGTTAAACAAATGCACAAACACCTCTATCATCTCAAATGTTGATAAGATAGATAAGAGCAAGGTGCCCTGAGACAGTACCATACAATATTGCAAAAGCTCTTCTTACAGGCTAAGAAATGCAGTGATTACCTCTGATGATTCTCTTCTCACCTAAACAACAAAGTTATAAAATTTAAGAAAGGAAGTTGGCTAAAAAGAGCTGAGAAAAACTAAGGCAGGGAAGCAGGGGAAAGTGACTAAGCAATTCAGCCCGTAACCCTTGCCATACAGCCTCGCCATCTTGGTGGCGCTTCTTGTTGGTACACTCCAAACGACAAGAGGTGAGGATGTGGCAAATGCGATCCCTTCTCCCAAACTGATCTCTCCTGAATAAAGAAATCCAACCTGGAGCTGGGGCCCTACTTCATAGATGAAAGCAATTCCCTTCATCTGCTGCTTGTCCCCGAGAAGTCCATGGTGGATGTCTAAAAAACCATAAATTTTACTTTAATGCTTTAGCATATTTTTTTAAGTTTATTCATTTGTTTTGAGAGAGAGAGAGAGAGAAAGCACAAGCCGGGAAGGGGCAGAGAGAGAGAGGAGAGGGAGAGAATCCCAAACAGGCTCCACATTGTCAGCACAGAGCCTGATGTGGGGCTTAAACTCACAAACCGTGAGATCATGACCTGAGCCAAAGTCTGACCCTCAACCAGCTGAACCACCCAGGCACCCCTAGCTTATTTTTTATTTTTAACTAATTTCTACATCCAATGTGGGACTTGAACTTACAACCTCAAGATCAAGAGGCATGTGCTCAACTGACTAAGCCAGCCAGGCACCCCTTAACGCTTTAGCTTATTAGAAAAAGAAAAGATTTCTTTGGCCTATAACAGTTAACACTTGGGCTTCTGGAAACAATTCCAGACATGGCTTACAGTCAATAAAACAAATAAACAAAACAACACCCTTATGAGACTTGGCTATTAATAGACTTGGAAACAGACAGACACACTGATTTTAAAGAGCAAGAACATGGAAGCAGAGAATCAAGTTCCCAGAGCAACAAAATTCTCTTTCCATCCTGATTAAAAAAAAAAAAAAATCTGGACTTTATTACCTACTTGACCAGTTAGTGTGAGAGAAATCATACAGAAAGAATAAAAGTCTCTTTTCTTCCCAAGAAGTTGTCTCTCTGTAAATTAGGAAAACGTTGCATCTCTGATTGCTGTTACTTATTCTATGTATTATTTTTATGTCTTCAGTCTTTATATTAGACATAGTCCATAAGTATAGGATTACATCCAGAAGTAGTGTGACATAACTAGCTCCTAATTCGGCAACTTCACTCTACTGAGGTTAATAATGATTTACAGGGGAGAGCAAGAGGGACAGAGCAAGGAGTTCATAATAGCACCATTAATTATATGTGCTTCGCATATCTAGATAGAAGACCAACATCATTTTCAGGTCCAATAAATTAAGTACTTTTTCTAGTTCCTTGCTCAGAATCATAATAAGGATAACTCTTGATGTTGTATTGCCCCCAAGAAAGTCTCCTGCTTCCTCATCTTCTTATCATTTCATATGGGATTTTATGTTCTACTTGGCTCTGATTTATGGTGTTACTACGTGAAAATGCTTAGATACCTGAAAACACAAGTTAGTCACTTGACTTCCAATGAGGGTTAAACAGTCTCTAATAAGCAAATAGCACATTAAGTCTCATCTGTCATAGCTTGCAAATTACACTTGAGATTAGCCTAGGTACAGTTAAATTATAAGCATGAGAAGGCGGAACATGAGAGGGGAATGGTCTAAAGGTTAGAACCTAAACTTTAGCAAACTTACGTTATGCTAAATTTCTTGTTAGTGTCGTGAGACTTCAAAAAAGAAAACCACTACATGTGACATCTTTTTTAAAATGCTTCTTTAATTAATTATTAAGTAGGCTCTACGCCCAACGTAGGGCTCGAACTCACACCCCAGAGGTCAAGAGCTGCATGCTCTACCGACTGAGCCAGTCAGGGGCTCCTAAATGTGACATTCTTCAAAAGTATCTTCTATATCCCACTCCTTAAAAATTTGTGAACATAATTGACTTTTATTCTTAACTACCCCATCGTCATAATCCATTCTCCCTTAATTAATATATTTCATTAATAAACAAAATTACGTCTTTCTGTGGTTTATCTAGGAATACCAAATAAATTGCGAAGAAAGGTTTTAAAAAGTATGCCTACAAGCTAAAGTCCTGGACTCCTTCAAAAATGAAGTAAATGCCCAAATATCTTCATTAGCACAAAGGCCATCATCACATTTTATGGTGAAGTATTGGAAACAGGATCGTGTATTTATGTCAAATTTCTGAAAACATGACATCATATTTTACTACTCCAGAATGATTCCTCTCTGCTCTATTCCAGGAAAAGGAAAGAAAAAAAACACCATAATAGTTGCAGTCGTATTAACTTCAAAGCTGGCAATTCTTTCCCAAAGATGTTTTCTTTCCTTTTTAAAATAAGACAAAAACAGAACAGCTTGGGTTCAGAGTATGGAAACTCATAAAAATAAAATATTTAAGAATACGTTGCTGAGAAATCACCCGCAAATTACTTTGAGACCTTCGAAAAACAATCTACTTTGAATCACCAGTCTAAATAGGTCATTTAACTTAGAAAAATTAAAATTAGCTGTGCAGGGTCAATTCCTTTTCTAAAAAACAGCTGCATCCTCAGTGTCCTCTTGTCGTCAAAGTCAAACCAGAGCCAAATGTCAAGAACAACTATAATACATGACTTTATTCCAAATCTCAAAGTTAGTCTGCTCTTGAAATGGCCACAAAAGTTAACATTATATATAAAAACAGAGAGCGTCTGTGGGGTGCTTGGAGCATTTCAGGAGGATAGTGGTTTGGGGGCGGTGGTTCCCTCCCAAGGCTCTTTTCTTGCCTTTCACCTGCACATGTTCCCATAACGTGGCAAATCAAAATCAGCTGAGACACGCACTTCATACATAGCAAATACTTCCATAACACAAGTTTAGGCTCCCACAAGTTTCTCTTATGCCAACCAGCAATACAAGGTCATGAACCTTCATGTTCTTGTCCAGCACCTCTAAGGGCTTCATCATCCTGGTAAACTCGGGGATCAAGCCCCTACTCCCCAAAAAACCTCCCCAAACGTAAGAGTAAGTACAAAATCCTAAAGGTAACATGAGCCTTAAAGAATGAAAACAATAAGACCAAACAAATGAAACCATTTGACTGCCTGAAATATCCTATATGCTTGCACAACCAGATCACCCATAAAATTAAAAGGACCCAACCATGTTGGAACAGGAGGGTGTCAAGTGTTGGAGGCTGCCTTTATAAGGCAGGGCATCCAAGGTGGCTACCAGAGTGGGAATCCGCATTACAGGAAGGAGAGAAAGGAGTCAGTTTTGTTTCACGATTCTCCAAAGCCACCGGGAAACGCACCCCTATCCTTTCTGGGTTAAAAGTAACTTTAATGCCCAGAAAAAGTACTTCCATGTCTTCTAGCTAGAAACATTCTATCAACCACAGGCAAAAGCGATCAGAAATAATAATGGAACAGGTTTTCCTCTCAGCCCATCTCCCTAAAGCCACTTCCCCAAAATGAGATCTCGAGAAATCTTGATTCCCTCAAGATCTCTGCTTAAGGATTTAACGTAAGGACCTTTGCCAACAAGGAAGCAAACGGAAGACTTGACATTAACATTTGGGGAATTGCTAAAAGGAGCATGCTAAGCTACATTTTTCTTAAAAGGCTGAAAACCACAACAGGATTAGCATCTACTCATTTCCAGATGGATGATAAAATTTTTGTAACTGCCCGGGACAGAGTGAAACAGTTTCACTCCAGCACCACCCCCTCCTGAAGCAATGACAGAAACAGTCCCACAGAGGGACAGGGCAGGCTGACTCTCCTTCCACTACAACCTCTCCAAATCCGCTTTTCGCCAGGCTGGGTCAGTCCCCTCCTTAGTCCCTCAGCTCGCGCCCTAAGCGGCCGGCCCCTTCTCCCCACCTCCATTTACGAGCGGACTCGGCCCAGCAACCGCCCTTCCTCCGGCGCGTCCCCCTGGGCGGCGTCCCCCGCGCTGGGGAGGTTCTGGAAAGCCCGGGACAACGCGCGGGTGCCGGGCTGGGGAACCCCGGGGGTTCCGGCCGCCCAGGGCTCCCGCCCTCACCCCACCCCCCACGCCCTGGCGGATTAAGTTGCTCGGAACCCCGCGGCGCGCACGGCCCCCGCCCCTCCTACTCCCGCCCCTCTGGGCTCGGGCGCCCCGCGGTACCCCCCGCCTCCGCGGAGGTGAGCGCGCACTCACCGGAGGTGAGCTGCATCCAGGCACAGATCTTGTACACCGTAGCCGTGTTGCAGAAGAAGAAGAGGGTGAAGCAAACGATGCAGGCGATGATGAGCATCATGGAGAGGCCGATGAAGAAGGAGGCGGCTTTGAAGGCGCCCGAGGGCAGCGTGGAGAAGTCCGTGAAGCTGCCCCTGCAGGTCAGCTCCCGGGAGAAGCCGTTGCCGATGCAGTAGTGGAAGAGCCCGAAATAGCCGGCTTGCGGGGTGTCCACGCCGTCGCCAATCCAGTAGGGCTGGATGAAGCACACCACGTTGACGATGGCAAAGCAGATGGTGAAGATGGCCCACAGCACGCCGATGGCCCGCGAGTTCCGCACATAGTTGGTGTGGTACAGCTTGGCAGCCTCCTGAGCCGGGAGCATCGCGGCGGCGGCGGCGGCAGCGACGGCGGCTCCGGGCATTCTCCCCCTCCTCCTCCTCCTCCTCCTCCTCCTCCTCGTCCTCCGCCTCCCCCCGCCTCTCCGCGCTCAGGAGACACACTCACCGAGCCGCGCGCGCTGCAACTCCCCTGCCTCTGCCTCAGCCCAGCAGCGCCAGTTTCAGAGTCTGCATCCTCGCTCCCGGAAGGAGGGCGGGGGAGCGCTGAGCACCCCTCCGGCTCGCCTGGCACAGCCTCCCGGCCCCCCTCCCTCCCTCCCTCCTGGCCCGGGCTCCAGCCCTCCTCACCGCCCTCCACCCCTCTACCCGCCGCCGCCGCTGCAGCTGCTGCAGCTGAAGGCGGCAAATCCCGCGCGGGGCAGTGTGGCGCGCGAGCTCGGGCGCCCCCCACTCCGCTTCCCGCCTTCCGCCCCATGCCCCCTCCCCCCGCCGGCCGCCCCGGGGCGCGGAGGACCGCCACCACTCTAGGACGCCCCTCGAGTGGTGGGCGTGTGCCACAGAAGCGGGACTGGAGTTGGGGGGCGTGGGGTGAGAATCTAAGGAGCCAGCGGGAGCACCCATAGGGATCCTAGAGGCGATCCCAGGATCCCGGTTGGTGTTAGGGAGCGGGCGTGGGAGGCTGATTCTGGGAGCATTTCTGCACCGCACAGCAACGTGCTTCGACCTCTGCATCTTTGCGGAGGCGCGAGGGGCCGCGCGGCAGGTGCAGGCAAGAGACGCCAGGAAGAGGAGACGTACTGCCCCCCAGAGCCTCTCTGTTACAACCACAGAACTGCCCCCTGGCTAACTCCTCCGTTGCCAGGTGTTCCACGAGGTGGAGACAGAAGTTGGACAGGAGTCTCGCAGACAATCATGTAAAAGGCACAATTCAGGGGTGGTCTCATAGCTGCTCTACTGAGCTTGTTTCCTCTTCGCGTTACCCCCCAGCATGCAGCCAACCGAACTGTAGCCAGTGGATGCCCTGTACTTTCCTTTAAGTCAGGTCATTAAGTCAGGTCATTTTCCCCACAAATCCTGCCATCGATGGAGCCTGCGGGGCATGGAAGTGACTGGGTCACAGAAACGTGTAGATTGTCTGAAAACACTGGGTTCTTTGGCTAGTGTTGTATTTCTTAGGCAAATATTCGTTGGCAACTCTTCTGTGTCTAGGCACTGCGCTGAGTGCTAAGGATACAGTGAAGACAGCGGACGATTGTTTTCATTGTCCAGGTATCTCTCACAACCCAAAGCTCCAGCTAGCCAGAGAGTTGTTTTCAGAGTAATTTTCCTGTGAACTATCCACTGTGTAATTCCTTACATTTTCATGTAGCATTGCTGTTTTACAAACTGTACTTTGTACTGTTTCCTTAGTTTAATTTTTTCCCTTTACAGTCGTTCCGTTGCTCTTTTAACAGTCCCTGCCTTTCAATCTCCATTTCCTTCTTTTCCATTGGCCACTCTTGGTTTCTGCTGATTCTGATGTAAAGAAACATGTAAACACCACCACCACCCCACCCCCCTCAAAGCAACGAAACCAGAATGCTCAATAGCAGCTGACAATATTGGTAATAAACCATTTTGGCCCATGTGACCATTGAATTCTCTGCGCAGAAAGAAGAGAATTCTGTTAGAATTTGACCCTTAAGTCTACACTCACTTCCACACTTAACCATGATGAAAAACATAGAGGCTCCTTGATAGTATCTTGCCATTATGCTCAAAATCCCCACCTTACAAGAACATGAGAAACGGGGTACCAGGTGGAATACAAAACTACCAGGAATGTATAGGAAAGTTTAGAATGGTTCACTGGGGGCAGAGGGTGTTGGGGAGGAAGGAAGAAAAGCTCCAAAAGGCATTCTGCTACATAAATACCTATGACTTGGAAGAGGATTCACATCAGACCCTAAGTGATGAAGACCAACCATTCCCATCATCTGATAACCCGAAGATTGGAAATTGTGTGGAGAGAGAGAGGGAGAGAGTAGAAATAGGAATACAAGATCCACAAGATGATGAAGGGGCTATTGTTGAAACTGGGAAAGGGGCGCCTGGGTGGCTCAGTCGGTTAAGCGGCCGACTTCAGCTCAGGTCATGATCTCATGGTGCGTGAGTTCGAGCCCCGCGTCGGGCTCTGTGCTGACAGCTCAGAGCCTGGAGCCCGTTTCAGATTCTGTGTCTCCCTCTCTCTCTGCCCCTCCCCTGTTCATGCTCTGTCTCTCTCTGTCTCAAAAATAAATAAACATTAAAAAAAAAAAAAGAAACTGGGAAAGAATCTAAAGGGTTAGTGTTGGAATGTTACATTCAATTTGTCCTATAAGCATGAAATTCCAGTGTTACAGTTCCAGGTCCTTTAGACAGATCTTTGGAAATCAAGCAGTCAGAATTAAAACAGGAGTATAAGGCAAGTAGGTTTAGGTGACTAAGAATTTTTTGCAAGGATGATTGTAGATTCTCAGAAGGTCTTTAAGAAATCAGAGGCATTTGGGGGAGGTGGGGACGATGACCTAAATATGAGCCAGCCCAATATAACACTTGCAAGCCTCTAAAAATATAATTCATGATGATGCATCATCAGTGCATTGGTGGCAGTGGAGGGTCAGAACTTCTGTTAGGTTTCATTTGTCTTAACACCCCTGAAGTTGCTGGTAAATCAGAAAATCAGAAGAGTTTTAGCATGGAAGAAGAAGAGGGAAGGTGAGGGTAATCAGATTTATGGGGCCATCTGGCAGGCCATGTGTCCCAGAGGCAGAGATAGCTTTACAGCATGAACTGACAGTAATTTCTAGTGATTCTCCCAAGCCCTCAAATCCCCCTAAACCTGCTTGTATGAAGTGGTCTTTCTTTAAAATCAATGCCTAAAAGAGATCTTACTGCTCCCATGGGGTAGTTGAGATGGAAGGTTGCTGAGAGGGAAAAGTCTGAGAATCAAAAAGCCTGGTTTAGACCTGTGTTTAAATTGCCTTTATAGGACAGAGAAAAGACTGGCGAGTGACTCAGATTCAAATGTTGTGATTCAAAGAGCTTTTCTATTTGAGTCATACCCAAGGAGAGCCCTATTCTTATTCCAGGTTTGGAATTGCCTCTAGGTTCGTGCTCAGAATCACTACACCAAAAAAGCACACTCAAGGTGTCCACTTTGTCAACAGCAACTAGGAAGAGACGGGTGTTGGTGTATTGCAGAATTAAAGTGCTCCCATGGATTCCCCTGAGAACCTGACTTGTTGCTCCTTGAGGTGAGGGGTCAGTCAGGGATGAACCGAATGCTGCCAATGGCCCTTCCCCTACCTTTATCCTGCCCTGCACCACAGCAGATTTCCAGGATGAGCAGGGTCTCCCAAGACTCTCAGAACTAGGGATGAACTAGAACTGCTGTAAACACCTTAGTTGCCATCAGTGAATTCAGATTATTCTTCTACATCTTCCTAAATCCTTCCATTGCTCATCCCAACCTGGCTCTTGCCCTTTGCAACCAGAAACCCCAGATGTAAGATTGTCCCGAAGCTGAATCTAAACTTTTGTCTGACACCATGCAGACTTTAGAGTTCAGACAGCTAAGCACCTGGGCAGCTCATTACATTCATCAAATAGGATGTGACCAGGAAAGCTGTTTGGGGGAAGAGGAAATAATAAAACTAGCCTGATTCATGCTAAGAAGTTACTATTGATAGAAGACTATTTTGAAACTATAACATGATTCATTTGTGCTAAATAACTAGTAGAAGTCAGTGTCACTGACAGCTTCAAATTAGACATACTGAACAATCTCAAACTTCATTGTTAAAAATGTTTTTCTCTTACTGCCACAAAGAGTCAGTAGTGAGACCCACTCTTTTCCCAAATGTGTCTTAATGAATGTTAGGACCAGAAAAGAGAAAACAACAAAAGAAGAATAGTTAGACTGTGTAATACAACTAAAAGGATCCTGGGTAAGTTAAAGGATGAACTGTTTTGATCCCAAATTTATCTGTGATGACTTGAGAAAGTGTAAACGCCTTGGGGGGCAAAAGACAGGTTCCAGAGGCAGTACCACCTCTGCCTACCTGGGAGAGCCTGAGGCTTTTGGGGCCTCATTTTCTCATCTCTAAAATTATGATGAGGGAGGGAGGATATAAGATGAATTCCAAAGTCCCTTTCTACAGTAGAATTCTATTCTGTTCTACAAAGACTATTCTAGGATGACTTTGCAAAAAAAGATAAAACCTAGTACTTGCAGAAAAAAATGAGGCAAGACCTAACAAGAGATATCAGATTCATGATGGAGATATTTTATTTGAAATTGAAAATCCCTTCTGAAATCCAACTGTTATAATTTTTTCAGGTAATCGGTACTTAGTGTTTTCAGGTAAGTCATTGCTACGACCTTGGAAAATGGAGAAAGCGATGATTTCTAAAATCTGTTATTTAATCACATTCTAGGGCTATTACCAAGGTCAGTATCAGATCCCACTCCAGAATATAAAGATTCTAGTAATGAATCTCTTTTCAATGACCAAGGATTTCCCTCTGCCCCTGCCCCCCTTAGTTCTCTTTTAGGGCTTTTCAAACATCAGGAAACACCTCTTAGTCACCAGGTCTGCCGTGGCAATCAAATGCATTGAGTGTTTCAATGCCCCCTGCAAATCAAGATCACATTGATCACAAGGCTCTGATTTCGTCGCACCTTAGTCCACACAGTTGTAAAGAGATGTGAGCTCCACATAAGGAAAGCAATGGGAAACAGGAACATCAGTCATTCTCCTACTTTCCCTTTTTCCTTTTTCCCACCCCAACCCCTCCCCCTTTTTCCGCTACTTTGAATTGGATTCTGTGTAAGAATCACTCCTTTTATAAATTCTTTTCACTTTGCCAGAACCCAGCTTAGAATATAAGTTGTTTTCTCATAGGCTGTGCTCTACACCCTGTGCTAGAAGAACCATCTCTCTGTGAACCTTTGTGAACCCTTGATGTTTTCAGAACAATTCTTTCTGAGGGTAAGTAGTGACCTATATTGAATAAAATACCATAGAAGCATAATCGTCATTTGAGGTATGATTTTTTTTAA